TGAGTGAGTGAGTGAGTGAGTGAGTGAGTGAGTGAGTGAGTGAGTGACTGGGTGAGTGAGTGAGTGAGTGAGTGGGTGAGTGAGTGAGTGGGTGAGTGAGTGAGTGAGCGAGGGAGCGAGTGAGTGAGTGAGGGAGCGAGCGAGTGAGGGAGCGAGCGAGTGAGTTGAAAGAGTGAGTTGAATGAGTGAGTTGAGTGAGTTGAGTGAGTGAGTTGAGTGAGTTGAGTGAGTGAGTTGAGTGAGTTGAGTGAGTTGAGTTGAGTTGAGTTGAGTTGAGTTGAGTGAGTGAGTGAGGGAGGGAGTGAGGGAGCGAGTGAGGGAGCGAGTGAGTGAGGGAGTGAGTGAGGGAGCGAGTTGAGTGAGCGAGTTGAGTGAGTGAGGCGAGTGAGTGAGGTGAGTGAGTTGAGTGAGTGAGTTGAGTGAGTGAGTTGAGTGAGTGAGTTGAGTGAGTGAGTTGAGTGAGTGAGTGGAGTGAGTTGAGTTGAGTTGAGTTGAGTTGCGTTGCGTTGCGTTGCGTTGAGTTGAGTTGAGTTGAGGGAGTGGAGTGGAGTGGAGTGGAGTGGAGTGGAGTGGAGTGGAGTGGAGTTGAGTTGAGTTGAGTTGAGTGAGCGAGGGAGGGAGTGAGTGAGTGTGTGTGTGTGAGAGTGAGAGTGAGTGTGAGTGAGAGAGGGTGAGAGCGGGTGAGAGTGAGAGCGAGCATCTGAGCCTGCCACGAAATCTACACTTCGAAGCCGATCCCTTGCACCTGTCACGAAAAGCCAACTTTGGACCACCAAAGCACGAGGTTTCCTTTGCGCCTGCCACGTAAAGTAACCACCATGTCGTCCGAAAATGCGCGCGGCACCACAACGAGAGCGTAGTCGCGAGAAGCACCCGCCGCGCCCAAGCAGATTTTATACGAGCCTGCGCAGTCGAAATGCACTTCGAGCATTTCGAGAGGCATGAATGTACTGTGAATAGCAGCGCGCTAGCCGCGCATGCCCGATTAGACACCGGTGCTTAACACCTACCGTGAGAACCCCTAGTGTGACCACACTGTTTGGGAAAAAAACACCTCAGACTTTCAGAACATGGTCTGGTCTTGGGCCGATGTTCATCTATTTTCAGGAAGTGCAACGCAAAGTAGACCGTTCCGCCGTTCCGTTCGCACGTGTTCCCATCTGTTCCACCGAGTAACCCAATCAATTCACAGATTTTTGCACTGAAGAGGGGTGAAATATCACTTGAAATATCACATTGAGCTGTTGCTACATTGTTACATATTGCTTAAATTTGGGGCACAAGCGCTGGATTGAAGTCACATCAGTTGGCGAAAAGTCACATCACAGCACACCGCATCAGGTGGAAAGAAGTCCCAAAACATGCAAACACCAATGGCACAGCGACGCCCAAAGAGTCCTTGCATAAAAGAATATGGGCCAAAACCTTGCCCGGTAGTGGGGAATTGGCTGTTCCTGATTCGGTTTTGCAAGATCTGTCATGCAAACCCCAATGGCACATCCAGCACATGTATGTTTGCAAACCAAAACTCCTATCACCATCTATATCAGGTGACTGGAGATGTGACCGGGGTTCCATCTTACACATGCACTGTCCTCTTTCTGACCAATTCCCATTCAGGGGTCAGGGGATCGAATCATTCATACTCTTCTGCGAAAGCACCAGCAGCAGCAGCACAAGCAGCAGCACATGAACATCTACGACACATGAACTGACACATGACGACATCACCGCTGAAATTTGCGCAACCTGCATGTAGGTAACCACCCTTCCTTTAGCTCATGATGTTGAAGACTTGCTCTGGAACCTCGATGCAGTTCTCCAACCTCGATGTACTTTTCAGGAGCCAAACTACTTGACAAACATCACTGCTGGACTCTATACTGCTATCTGCAATCTTATGGAGGTTCTTCCTACCGCTGGAAGCAAAGTTTTGCATGCCCTGCCTCTCCAGTTCTACAATAATCAGGTACATCTCTATACACCCAAGTATTCTCGCTCGCGCTGATCGGATTCTCGCTATGCACGCATCGGAAGCGTTCACCGCAGTCGCCTCGTCGCGTTCGCGTCGGAAGAAAACAAAAAAAGACACCTCCGGGTCGCTGCAGGGCCCGGGCTGGACCACCCAAAAGGAAGACAAATGACACTTCACACGGTCACCGGGAAAAGAGCACCTGCGGGAGCTTCCGCACCTACCCAGGCTGCGCTCCCGCATCCCGGTCTCTCGACCCATCGTGCCGTCGCGACCGTGCGGCCGACCGAGCGGGGCGACCGTGCGGTTGCCTTGGCAATCTGTTCGATGGGCTGGCCGGTTGCATCGGCCAAGTGCATGTTCAAGATCTCACCTCAGCACAGCTTGGCAGGAATATGGCATAATATCCATTGAATATATAAGCCTATCTTTCCTAAGATCTTGATCTTGCTTCCTGGACTTGGCCAATCCGAAATGTACAAGTGCCGTCAAGCAACCAGTTGTGAACAAGATGTGATACAACAGAATCATCTTCTCAAAGATTGGCAAGACCCTTTTTTCATGCGATCATGCGGGCTTTCTGAGTTATCACGCATAGTTGTCCCTAGCTTACTATAGGCATATACAGTATAATGATATTTAGGGCACATAGCACCTCCACATATCCTCCATCCCCCCCAAGCCCCAAGACTCGCAAAAAGCACCTGTTCTCATGAGTCTTTACTCCCCAAACCCCCCCTCCCAGCGCGCGTGCGCTCGCGGCGCAGCTCCCGCTCCCGCTCAGCTCGGTTCCCCGGGCGCAGATGGAGAATCTCTCGCGCCTGGATGCGCACGTCCAAGGCTTGGCCCTGTGCACCGCCCAACGGCTGATGGATCATGATACCTCGCGCGAAGAGTTTGTCGCCCGCCGCACTCCGCTCCACCCGCACCACGCACAGCACGGCAGGGCTTGGTGGCACAAAGAGGCGGTTTGGGGGTTCGGAGGGGTTGGGTCCCACGCCGTCGTTGGTGGCCGGGGGTGTTTGCGTGGGGGCGTTTTGGTTGGGAAAGAGGCGGTGGAAGATAGGTGGCCAGCACAACTCCATGAGTGGCGTCTCCTCAAAAGAAACAGGCTACAAACTCAAACGCGACTGATGGGACTGCCATAGGACTGCCGCCCCATTGACCCCCCAAACCACCCCAATGTATAGGCAAATATGACATGATATACATGGAGTGTCTGGGATATATGATATGATATATTATATATATATTTGCAAATGGGATTGTGTGGGTAAAAAGTCAAATGAGTTGACGTTCACCTCACGTTCACCACGTTGTTGTTTTTTTGCCAGTCCCTGAGGTCCCCAGGGGAAAACCCAAGCCCGAAAAGCATAATAGAGGCATATCAATATGTCAATATCATATATTCCGTAATGTATCATATATAATGTCATAATATCATAGCATTCCCCTAGGTGAAAGGAACTCGTCTTTTCTTCTAGCACCTCCTCCACTGCATGCGACCCTTGTGGACTTTGATGAGCGATGGTCGTCCCGAGCGGCACCACCATGCCAAGGCACGTGAGTTGGGCAAACTCTTGCCTGAGCCGCAAGAGTCACCATGGTGAGGATGGATATGGATGGATTGGCAGGATCCATGAGCTTTGAGACAAAAAAAACAAGATATGTAGCTTCAACTTCCTGGTTCATGAGGATTCCTTTAGGAGTCCACCCGGGTCTGGTTTTGACCCATGGACCTGGCCAAACAAAGTTCTGTTGTGATTCATTTACTATCAATCTGAAACATTCTGAAACAAGAAACCGGGTGTCTTCTTAGCCACGAGGCATTGCAGGGTCCAACACCGTCTAATGAGACAACAAACATGAAGGGCAACACCAGAATTCTGCTGTTGCTGCACTCCCTGGAACTAACATGGAAGTGGAAAACCATGTGTTGTAAAGGAAATTGTCTTCCAAGGGGCCATTTTCCACATCCTTGTTAGTTCCAGGGAGTGTAGGTCCACTAGGTGCGTAGTCAAGAATTGCTTGAACTTAAGAAAACCACTTAGCATAACTCTGATGGCTTTGCCACACAATAAAAAAGCAAAAAACAAGCTAATGCAAAGCAAAAAATTGCAAATCCAAAAAGCCAAAAAAAAACAGCAAATGAAAAAGCAAACCAAAAACAAAAACACACAAAAATAACACCCGAAAAACGCCAAGCAAAAATAAGCGGAAAACAAAAACGAAACAACAAAAGGCAAGCAAAACATCGAAAACAATGCTACAAAAAGAAAAAAACATAACATTCAACAGAATGCATAAATCAATACGCCCCCCCAAAAAAATGGTGTTGCTTTTTCATGTGCTTTTTGTGTGCTTTTGCTTTTTCATATTATCTGTTTGTGCTTTTTGTCGTTGCATTTGTTTTGCTTTATTATTGCTTGTTGTTTTCTTTTCCTATTTTCAAGATTCTCAGAGTTTTCCTGGGTCCGGCGATGATAAGCTTGAACGAGTGGAGCAACACTATGATCAGCTTCGGAGTTAGGTTGAAGGGGCCGACCTCTAGGTGGTGCAGTATCCGAGTACGTCCGACATCATTCTTGTCTGACAAAAACCGCAGGTTCATTGACACACTGAGACCGACCCATCGGCGGCCCAAGACCGATGGCATATCCCGGTTGTTGATGGACCAAATGAGGTCGGAGGACTTGGATCACATCCCTTCCTCTTTTTCCATGCTTTGCACAGAAAAGTGGCCTCCAAATAGAAACGGTTTCCAATACATTCTATCTGGGGATGATCTGGAGATCTACTTTTCTATTTGGTTTCCCTCGGTATCATCTGGCACCCTTCTTCTCAACCCCCTCACCTCACCATCCTACACGCGTCTCCCTTGAAATCTTGGGACATCTTGGGTCCCTACTACTCTACTCTTGCTGGCAGTGAGCTATCCCTTCATCCTTTATCCCTTAATCCACGAATGTTCGTCGTAAATCCCCCCACTACACCATCCATTTGGGGCTTGAGGGCCTCATAGCTCGTCGCTCACCTTCCAGCACGGTCGCGTCGTCCTCCGTCGAGCGTCGTTTGCCCTTGGTGCCGGCTGCCAGCAAGAAGGAGCCCATCGAGGCGGCCATGCCGAAGCACACTGTGTTCACATCGCCTCGCTAAAGCGAGCGCTCGCTTTGGGCACCGGTCCGCGTGGTTCCAGTGACGATGCGGTGGAGACCAAGGTAACTGCAAGTAAATGTTTCTGTTTATAATGCCGTGTCAATCTGTGTCATACCTTGGAAGACTTGATACCTTGGAAGTCCGCCCCGGAAGGGGACGACCTGTGTCGACCTCGACCATCCCGGAGTTGATCAAGCGACGAATCGTGATGTATAGTGCCATCTTTGGTGCACACAGTTCTTTGTCAACTTGCGGGAAACACCCGCCAGCCGGCTCAAGCCTCTCTGTCTCTCTTTTTTTGGACTGTGCTTGATTGCAGTCCTGTGAGGTTCTCCTCCAGGTTCTGGAAGGCCGCAAGTGCTGACTTTGTCACAGTCCCAGTGCAACCTCCCAGCCGAGAGCTAACAGTTCACATTTCCAACGAATAGTAGCGGATCATCTGCCGCTAGCAAAAAACAACACCAGCCCTTTGGCAAGCGTCAAGGGGCAACAAAAATACCCCACACTGTACAAAAGGGATGTGGTTTTCCCCCGCTTAACCTTAAGAGTTCTTTCAAACAAACTACGGTATCTTGCGAGGAAACCATCCCAAAATGCTCCGGTCAATTCTGACTAAGCTTCTCTCCCTTCAGCATCGAAGGTCCCCTGCTTCTTGCCCTCACACGCGCGATGTTGAAGCAGGGTCCGCCCGGAGGCTCTCTGCCGAAAGGAGGCTCCCGCGCTAGATGGGCGCGTGGGCTTGGGTGGTGTGGGGAGCAAAGTCATCTCTGCTTCGGCCACTTGAAGATTCTTCTGCAAATCCGAGCGCAAGCGATCGTTCACCTTCTCCAACCTTGTTTGATCAATGACCCTCTCCCAAATCAAAGTCTAAGTATATGGAAAACAGAACTTGCAGAACTGCTATATGCAGCATGCTATACTATGCACATCTACTGTATGTTAACAATCACTATATACATCCTCATTACAAGTTTCAAAAGAGTTTGTTCCGTACAAATAACGGTTTCTTGGACCAGCCACTGACCACTTCTGTTGAGCCACATGTCCTTCTCGGCCTCCAGAACCTCCACCGACCTCTGATGTTTTGCCTCCTGTTGCCCCAAGGCATTGAGCTTTTCGTAGTAGATCTGCCTGAGCTCGCAGTTGTCAGCCACCGCGGCGTGGCAAAGCTCGTGCTCCTTGAGAAGCTCAACCTGACAGCTTCTCAGACAAAAGGACGAGTGGTTGGGAGAATCTCATGAGAAGGGGTGCTACCCGGTCTATCTCCAATGAAAGAACAAGGCAAAAAAAGATCAAAGAAAAGGGAAGTACACAATAGGACTCTTTCAAAACATATTTTCCTCTTCAGGCTAGAAACCACGGTATTCCAGTTCTTTTCTAAACTTGATTGAATTGAACACTGGGAACCAAAAGTCGCTCCCAAAAACGCGTGTTTTGGCCAACAACGACAATGACCTTCAGCTTCTGCAATTCTTGCTCTTTCAGCTGAACGAGGTGGTCCTTGGTGGAATTCTCCCTCAAAGCAGCCTCCAATCGCCCACGCAGCTCCGCCATCTGCAACTCCAAAGCCTCCACCTTCTGGCTCTGCATCTCTTCGAGTTCAACTTCTTTCTCTTTCAACTGCCCCTGCAGCTGTTGCACCTCTTCCTCGCTGTCGGCCGTCTTCTGCAAAGATGTGCCCAAACGCACCTGCAAATCAGAGAGCTCCCACTGCATGGCCTTGTCATGCTGTTCAGCCTCAATGGTCTTCTTCTTCAAATCGCTCTTCAACTTCAGAAGTTCGGCTTCCTTGACAGGAAGTTGACTCCGCAACAGCTTCAGCTCTCGGTCCATGACTTCGCAGATGTGTTCCTGGCTCGTGATCTTCTTCAAAGAAGCCTCCAACTTCTTCCGAAGGTCACCCATTTCCCACTCCATCGCCCTCTGCTTCTCCAGGTCAACAAGCTTCTTCCGCAGATCCTCCCGCAACTTCTCCTGGGCAAATCCAAACTGAACTCTCGGCGAACCAATCCCCACTAATCCCCACTAGTATAAATATGTGTCTCTATTTATCATTCAGTCATTCATGTTCGCAACCACCAAAGCGTTGAAGTCCAAACGAGTTTCCAATTCCTCAGCCCGGGTTGCCGACTGCCTCTGTGCACCTTGCAGCTCTTCCTCCTTGCGCTGCAGCATCAAACGTGTACGGCCAAGCTCTTCACAAAGCATCGCCTTTTTCCGTGCTTCTTCGGCCTCGTTGGCTTGTTGGCAACGAAGCTCCATGTTCTTTGAAGACAACACTCCTTCTCGTTCGATGGCACTAGACAGTTGCTTCTGCAGAAGACTTTCCGATGCCTTGACCTGAGCAAGGGAGGCATCTGAGTCCAAGTACATCTGATGCCAGTGCTCGACTTGCCTCAAGAGGGCGGCCTCTTGTTCAGCCACCACTTGCACGCTCAAGGAGCGGCTTGGGGAGGACACTCCCTTGATGAAGGGAAGGGAAGAGATGGTGGCCATGGCTTTGATGCGTGGAAGTTCGTCAGGAAACTAGTTTCGAACTTGATCCTGTGAATGCCTGGAGGCCAAGACTCAAAGAACAAGCCAAGCAGGAAGGTGTGCACACAAAACAGGCTTCATGCTGCGGAAGCCTGTAGTTCTGCATGATGTCTTCAGTTGGTGGGAGTTGATGAGTTTGTTATACTGAGGTCTAGTGACTAGTGACTTAGCCTCCGTTAAGGTAGCTCCGTTAACTCCGTAGTCCTTAGCCTCCAGCCATAGTTGGTCAATGCCAAACGAACCACGAATGCCCGGCTTACCATTACCCCGACTGCTGCCGACCGGGCTATGCCCTCAGCTCAAGTCACAAGGGATGAACTGCATGGTGTCATAGATGGCCTCGGTGGCGTAGGACGTGCACCGGGCATCACGAGCCAATGGCCCGTGGGACTGGGCGGTGTTTCTCACCGAACATCTCACCTGCCCCTATGGATCCACATACCTTCTGAGAAGGTGATTGGAGACTATTGATGTAGCCGCCAGGAGGGTCCAATTAGCTTCTGAGAAGGTATGTGGAGCCGGAGTGATAAAAAAAACCTCTAGATGCTCAAAGATGGTGTCTTAGTTGGTGTCGAAAAACTCCAATTACGAGAACCAACTCTGACCTCTTCCCAAACACCGAAGAAGCCCCGCCCCCGCCCCTTCTTCCCTGCAGCCCAAGAGGCCATGCCGGCCGAGACAGACCCGCCAGGGGAGTTGATGTACATGGTGATGTCCTGTGAGCGCTATTCGACTGAAAGAGAAAGGGAGGATTTCAAGGTTAGAGCCGGATTCGGAAACTAATCGGTCGGATTCTGAAACTAGGGTTCTGAAACTGGGGTTCTGAAACTAGGGTTCTGAAACTTGGATTCTGAAACTAGGGTTCTGAAACTGGGGTTCTGAAACTAGGATTCTGAAACTGGGGTTCTGAAACTAGGATTCTGAAACTGGGATTCTGAAACTTGTATCTGAAACTGGAAAGTCAGATTCTGCAACTGGTATTCTGAAACTGGAAAGTCAGACTCTGCAACTTGCCTTCTGAAACTTGCAACTGATCTCCACATCATGCGATAGCGTGTGTGCCTGTGACATCACCTTCGAAGCACATCCAAACCAACGTCATTAGCCCCCCACCCCCCCAACCTCCCCTTGTCCCCATCGTGTGATCTCGACATCCCTCATCATTCACAAAGTTGCGGAATCCTAGCGAGGGAGTCCACAATGTTGCGGAATCCTAGTTGCGGAACGCCAGTTGCGGAATCCCAGTCGCAGAATCCTAGTTGCGGAATCTTGACAGTTGCGGAATCCTAGTTTCGGAATCCTAGTTGCGGAATCCTAGTTGCGGAATTCTAGTTGCGGAATCCTAGTTGCGGAATCCTAGTTTCGGAATCCCAGTTGCGGAATCCCAGTTGCGGAATCCGACCAAACAGTTGCGGAATCCTAGTTGCGGAATCCTGCGCAGTTGCGGAACTTGACTTTATCCTGGATTTCAAGGTGCATAGATCGGTTTGATGATGTTGAAACAGCCATTGCGGGGGCGTTTTTTGAGCTGAAACAGGTTGAAACAGCCTCACCTTGTAACCTGAAGAGATGGGAGTCACGGAACTGGAGAGATGGGGATGGAAGTTGGCCAAATGGTCCGTGACGGCCGTGACGGCCAGTGAATCCATCCCCAGTGGGATTGGCCCCCAACAGAGTCAAAGCGATCTGTTTCAAGGGTCTTCCAGGCCCAGCAGGGCTGCTGATCTAAATTCCTTCATCCGGGATCCGTCATTACGATAGCTTACTGCCTTACTGCTGTCTTTTATCGTGCAGTCAGCCACTTCATCGGTGTGCAGGGCTTCACCGTTGCCGTTGCGACCTTGATTCGGTCTTCCGCACGAATCTGGTAGCCACTCCCATTCCATCCGACACTCGGTGGGGACGTGGATGTGCCCACCTTCCTCGGCCTCCGGAAGGTGCCCGAGCCTGGTTGGGATCTAAATTGGCCAAATACAACATCTGCGCCACAAGGACTTGGGCCATTTCATCCTTCACCTCGCCACCGAGGATGATGATCCTCGGAGAAAAACCGGAGAGGGGGGGAAATGAGGGGAAGAGGACGCCGGAGGGTGGGAGAAAACACCCCTACAAACCAAGAAACATTCAGAAAATAGTGATTTGCATGGTCCTTTGCTGGACAAAGTATGTATAAGTATGTTGAAGTCCATGGGTGAACAAACCTGGTGGCCACCTTGAAAGTCAAGGTTGTGGCCTACCGTACTTGAGCGGCGATTTCAGAATTCTGCTATTGAGTCAAAAACACTTCCGCCAACTCTCGTCAACGTCACACACGAACCTGGACTCCTTGTAGAACCGCACACGCACACAGGCAGAGAAAGAAGTCTTAATACCGGATTTGCTTCCATATCTTCCATAGTTTTCCACACGCTCAACTACCTCTAGTCTAACACTAACAGAATTGAAACACGCACGCGCCTAAATTGTGGGGTTCCTTCGAGGTGAATTGCTGCTGGAACATCCGCTTTCATCGAACAGAACACACCATTTCTCAATTGCAAACGAGTGTGATGAAACCGCGATCGTCACGATGCCCATTCGGAACAAGCAGGGGGTAGAGGACGCTACTATAGCAAAAGGCATCGCTACTAGGAGCAAGGACGCTACTAGGGGCTCCTGGCATCGCTACTAGGAACAACATTTGCTGAGAAACAAGAATTCAATAGAGTTAAAGTGATGCAAAAAGAAAAGGATCCAACTTGCAAAGATGTGAATCCAGGATCCCACGTCTTCATGATCTTTCATTCGTGCGTCATGGCCAGGTGGAGATGATGTCATCTTGAGAGTCAGGTCTGAAAACCACCACATCCCCAATGACTTCGTGACGCTTCCAGGGCCCGAGACGCCATCAGCGGGGCTCTTTCGCTTCCACGAGTTCGACTTTTGCGGCTTCAAGCGTTCCACTATCACACATTGCGGCTAATCGAGGGGTCCAAGTGACGCAACTGATGTGATGATGACCCTTTCTGAAATGGAGGTGGATAGAGTGCCCACTTGAAAGAACATGGAATCTGCATACCAAACAAATACCAAAGGATATATCCAGGCCGGGTGTGTTCTTTATATTGGGTGTCCAAATTTATTCCTTTCAAGAAGCCATCTTCAAGAACCACCCCCTACAGCTCAGGAAGACAAAGGTTCGTTTCCTCCGGTGTCGATGTTGGCACCACATACAAAACCCAGTGAAGTTATCAGGTCGCCCGCCTGAGCAAGGCAATGACTACCCCCTCGACTTCATGCAAAATCTCCCAGTCTCTTGGACCATCAGGTTCATCCTCCAACCCTTGGAACAGTCAGGGGTTTGCCCCCCCCGTTTTCTTCCCCCTCCGTATCCAGCCAAGGGTTCCGATCCTCCAAGAGCTTGGACATGACATCGATCTTCTCACCACTCCCCGTGTCCACCATGGGCATACGCACTGGAGGCGTGGTGCCTCCAAAGACGGAACCCGCCGGATTCGCCCGGCCGAAAGTGGCCCTCTTCTTTTTGGAGAAAATGCACAACGAGATTTGTGATGGATTCAGTGCCGTCTCAATAATCCTAAAGCCCAAATCAATGAAGGTCTTCCCACGGCCCGTACTTCCCCAGGCCCCATGCATTCATACCCTGCCTGGTGGATCCTGCCGCCTGGGATCAATCTCTGGTTCCCTGCTGGGCGCCGGCTGATCAGGTTCTGCCTTTCTCACGCTGCGAGCACCGCGCCCCGCGCGCGCGTGGACCGCGGCCGCCAGCGCGCCCAAGGCCACGCCGCAGGGAGCCGGGCGGCTGAGAGGGGCGCGCTGTGCGGATGGTCGGAGTGGTGCGGTGGGAGCGGTGGCCCATCCTGGGAGCCGACAGGGCTGACCCAAGGCCAGCGCCATGGTGTCCTCTCGGATGCCCAAAATCTCGTTGGAGCCGAAAGGCCTGCAGAGAAACTCCAACGTTCACATGTCTGCCACCATGGTCTGGTGCAGCTAGTCACATGGCAAAGAGCAAAAGCAAGACCCATGGTCCACTTCCTACCGCCTCGACAGTACTTAGCTTGTCAGACACGAGGCTTGTCAGACTCGAGGCTTGTCCGGCTCGACCAGGCGAACAAAACGACCAGTCGGGGCGAATCATCGTGGATTGAGAGGACCAATGGCACAGACCCCAAGGTCGGTAGTTTATATGGACCTCCATATGTTCAGGACATCATGGGGTCTGTGCCATCTACTCTGGAAAATAACTGTAAAGAAGCAAGGCCCATGTGTGAAACATCCTGAAATATCAGATGTTCGTAAAGCAAGCTCCAAGCAACGGGCAAAGCATCAAAACATCCTGAAATGATCTATGATCCCAAAGAAGCAAGCCCAGCCATTGGGTAAACATCATGACATATCAAACATATCACATATGATATCTAATGAAGCAACCCCAAACCAAGCGGTACATATATATCATGATACAATGAAATAGCACAGCTGTTTTGCTCTTCAGCACGACTAGGTCTTCACAGCTTCCACCGGGTTCCAATTGGGCGACCCATCCACGGAGCAGCTCGTGTCTCGGCCGGACTGCTGCGCCGGTCTCTCTTCGCTCGGTGGAGGAGCGGCACTGGGGCGGCTCAGGAGCGGAACTTCAAGGTAGAAGGTTTCCCAGCCTTCAAATCTTCCAGATGCTCCTGGAGAGTCATTAGAGAGCTAGCGATGCTGAAGCGGAGGGGTGTGCATGGTTCTTCTTTCTTTGGGGGAAAGATATGCGCGAGTTCTGCGAAGGGTGAGAGAATCATTCGCCAGCAGCCATCAGAGAATCATGTGAGTATCGTTAGATTCAACTTTTGGTTGAAAAATAATAGCAATAGCCGAAAAACAATCAAACACCAGAAAACCTTAATCATTCTGAAAGGCTGCTGGCGGACCTTGAGCCACCCTCCATGTTTGGTCGGGATCCGGACCACCAGGCAAAAAGGGCGGCGCCACCCTGTCACGGACCATCACCCTCTCCTCCAAATTTTTAAGCTTCTCAAACAAGCTTCCACCGGCCTGTATGTGCGCCAGAATCTCTCCTCGGGGAAACCGTGTGCGAGAAATCACGCTGGACTTGAGGCGAACAGCTGACGCTGGACTCGGACACCGGTGGGCGACTCGTTACCCTCCGACTCGGCACAAAAGGAGCCTATATAGATAGTATAGGGCCCCCGGAGCCAGGGGTGGTTTTCATGGACATCCCGAATCACCTCTAAGAAGCTGTAATTGGACACCCCTGGCCCGGAGGCCCTTGGTAGTATAGGAATGATCCAAAGTCAAGTTGGGGAAGGTCACTCAAGTTGGCCAATTCAAACCAGCAGCCTAGCCCGCCTAGCGCTATTGAATTCATAATGAGCATGCCACGGAAAAAGGCACCACGAAAAAAGCGGAATCCACTCACCAAGTCACCCTCCAACTCTTGGGTTTCCTCTGCCTTGTGCAGCCACCCACTCAGCTCCTCCTCCGAGCACCTGTGGTGCGAGGCCAGTGGTTTGGTAGAAAATCTTGGGGATCTTCTCACACCTACAGAGGTTAAGTGACCTGAACTAGGACCCGTCACCAGGGGTACCTATAGGACTATAGGATAGTCGAACTAGCGGAACTAGGGGTCTTCAACCTCTGCTGGCCTGACTTGGATTCTGACGCCCACTGTTCGGGCACTTCTGGGGGGCATCAACACTAGTGTAGCAATGCTGAATGTTGGCCACCGTGCTCCCGCGACGCGGGAGGAGCCTTTTTGCTCTGTACACGTCGCGCAGGTTCACGTTGCACGCATCCCGTCTCACAGTTCCAGCAGGTCTTTCCAGTGACAAAATGCGGCTGCACAGCTGAGGAAGCTGGGCTGTTTTCACGACATGTCAAGCCATAGCTGCTTCCATCCGAACACCCTTAGGTCCCGAACGATGAGTACTTAAGCATACTTAAGCTACTGTATAGCTATAGATTTCACCTGATTTCGCTCAACCATTGGCCATTGGCATAGCCTTAGCTCACCTGAAGGTGTCTTTAACTTAAGATTAAGGTAGTTTTCGGACAACCGCAAAACCCTCACCCGCAACCGGCGTCGAAGCTGTCGGTTGCAGCGGGTACCAGGCTTATTACGGGTGATGGATGGCGATGTAGGGTCAGCATCAAGCAACACTCACTGGTACAAAGCTCGCGCACTCCTATATCTATATATATAATATGTATATACTATACATTACTATACACCTTCTGTATCCTATTAGTCATTGGGCACCCGAAAGGAGCGTGACTAAAAGGTGCGCACTCCTGTCAGGCTTCAGTCGCAGAAAACCATAATTAGAGTTGTGCTTTCTCGGTGTTCTCATCTTTTCGAAGCTCCACAGCCACCTCGCTGAATTTCAGCCCTGCGGGTCACTGGGGTTCCCACTTCTTGCAAGAAGTCCCAGGTGTGATTGGGCCATGCAAGATTGTCTTGGCATGGTTGTTGGGTTCTGCGGCTTCAACATGAGTTTAGAACCCGAGGTTCAAACCTAGCCTGATGGATCGACAAAAAAAGAACGATTATGATATTAATTCATATGAAGTTTCATATGATCTGATGATCCCAGTCTGAAGATGTCTGAAGGCTGAACACGCCAATCGAGCATGTTGAAACCAACCAACTGCTTGGCCCTTTTGTTGGCCAATCTGCAACCACTTCGCAGCCGGTCGTCCTCGGCCCCTCCGTCGGAAACGCCTTCAGGTCAACGCAATGGTGGAACCGTCCCCGACCCCAAACGGCCCCGGTCCTTGAGCGGACCGCGGGAAACCGATCTCCCAGAAACGCGCCACACGTTCCTGTGGACACACGTGCAGATTTGAAGTTGGACCCTCTTGTGAGCCAATCTTCATTCCTTAATTAGCATCTTAAATCATCGGCATAAGGATACAACAAGCATATGCGCATATGCAACTACGCATCTGGCAACCAAATCCCTCAGCAATCATCTTTATATCTTTCTTTCAACTATATATATATAAGTGGAGCCAAAGGTCAAACATCACCATCATAGCGTCTCTCCTATCTTCCCTGTGCCAAAATCGGCTTGCTGAGGCTCAGCTCAGCTGTTCACAGCTCAGCAGGATTTCGGCCATCGTCGAACCACTCTGGCTGTGAAGGTCCCTGAGGCCCTGCAACGCATCGCACACAACCGTGTGTGTGAAAAAGCATCCAGGGGGAACTGCACCTCTGTGGCCATCATTTCCCGTCCACGAAGAAACGCCGTGAGCTTCCTGAGATTCCATAAACTCTAGAGTGAAATGCCAAGAAGGCACAATACAAACATAGATGTAAATACCCGATGATGCCAATCGCCCGATGGTAATTCCATCAAAACTGTCCTGATCTGTCCTGGCTCCAAGATCAATCTGGAGTTCTTTGGATAACTCAGGGTGGCCCTACAGTAGGCGCAAATTTGCATGCATAGGCCCAAAGATGCTGGGAGTGTAGTCGGCTGCTTTCAACCGCAAACAACTCCACTCCCATTTTGCCCAAGAGAGTGTCAAGAAACAAAGTTGCCATCATGTAGGAACTGAATTAGCACGGAAACACTAACTGAATGGCAGAACTGAGCTTGACTGAACTGACTTATCCATTGAACTCGGGCAACCATTCGACCGGTCGCTGCTTCGCTGAATTCACTGCCTCGCTCAATGCTGAGGCCGCTTTTGCGGGCCTCAACAAGTCCTCAGGGCGTCTACTTCTTGGAGAAGAGCATTGGCCTGAACCAGTCATTCTTAATTCGCTCCGAATCCTTCTCGAAGTATTTGCTCATATTGGCTTCATACCCTTGTGTGACAGCTGGAGCCACTTCCACGATCTTCCTGGAGGAGTAGAGCAAGAGCTGTCGATGATGGAAATTCCGCGCAAAGTCTTTGGCGATGTCTGAGGACTGGAAGTTGATGAAGCCATAACCCCGATTGCGCTTGGTCTTGAAGTCCATGGGCAAATAAAAGAAATCGAACATGGAATCGAAGCCCGCGGCCATGACCTCACTCAAGAGTTCCTCACACGTATAGCGATTCGGGATGTTCCGCATCATCACCGTGGTCTTGTTGTCTTCAAAGAGCGAAGCAACCTTCTCCGCGTCCCTCACCCGGGGGCTGTGGCCTTCTTCACACACCAGTCCTGGAGACAAGACCTTCGGCCTCACCGACGGACCCTCGGCGGAGCGGGGCACGGTGCCGGTGGTGCCCGATCCGCTGCGCGGTGGCGAGGTGCTCTTCGGTGGCTCTAAGAACTGGTCCAGCAGCAACTGCTGCCTGGGGGTTGTCTTGGGGGGTGATGGCATCTCCGGTTTTAGCGGACAAAGGAGTGAAGGAGGCATGGGCATGGCATAGGGCGCACTAGCCTGCACCCACTGGCCCTGCACTTGCGTCACCGGTGGTGGTGGGAGGAAGCTGGGAGGTGTTGGTTGGGTGGACAGGACGCATGGCTCGCTGGGCGTGTAAACGGGCTCCAGCGGCGCGGGGGGGCGGGCTGGCGATGATCAAGGGATAGGGCTGCCTGGCGCTGCGATCGGAAGGGATGAATGGATTCACCTGACATAAAGGTCCCAAACATCTTCCAAACACTCCATGGAACTGCCATTGTTTTGCCTACATTGACCCCCCCCCAGGGCCCTGGCACCACCCCCAAAGTAGGGCAAATATGACATAATTACATGGAGTGTCCGGGTATCCAATTCTCAAGGACCACATCCTCCACATCTCACACACATCATCCACGAAACCAACGGACCATCACAAGAAAGTACACAACTCCAAAAATTAGCTCAAAGAAGCACGTCACTTGCATGGTTGGGTGGTTCGCCAAAAATCAAAACTTGCCCGGAATTTTGCGCACTGTTGCAGCTTCCACCTGTGGGCTCTAAAGCAAATATCCTCCCCATATCCTCCCCCCTTTCGATTATCGCGAACATTATCTGGTGGTCTGCCATTGGAATCAAAGCATTGAACAGGTGAGAGGTCACCAGCAAAATCAAATCCCCAGGATGGCAATAAAGCAACCCCTAAATGCCATAACCCGTCAGAACCCTCACAAACACACATTGGCTTTGCACAAGAAGGCGTATCTTAAGTGTTTAAAACCCTGGATTTGCCAAAACATGCTACGCATTTTTAGGTTCAGGTGCTGCTCCGGGCACTCCATGTAGGTAGGCACAGGATAGAGTTCGAAACCCATGCAGCCGGCTGGTTCCTCATACTCCATGCTCATCATTTTGCCGAAGGGGCAGCGAATCAAGCTTGGGTGATTCTAAGCTTGGACGATGGTTGTCTGTCTGCTTGGGCGCAAGCCAAAAACGGGCTAGAGCCAAAATGGCTATGGACACATTCCACTTCTCTGACTGGTTTCTCCTCCATGTTGAGCTCATTTCTGCTCATGTAGTCACATGCCTCACATGCCGAAAGCTCCCCGAATTTCCTGGGCCGAGGCCGGCACACCACAAGGCCGTCGTCGTCGCCCAACACAAAGTCGCCCGGCTGGATGGAGACGCCTCCCATCTGAATCTCTACCTGTGGGGGCGGTGGCAGTCAGGTCTGGCACCGTGGTAGAGGCACGGGTGGTTTGAGGTGGTTTGAGCTGAGCTTTTTGAAGTTGAGATGTCTTGCTCCATGAAAAGGGGGAGATGTGGGCAAACAACAATGAAGTCACTGCGTCTGAGGAGCAAGGACAATGATCCTGACAAGTCTTTCCATGCTGCTTCACCGAGGAAGGGCACTGCTAACTTGCCCTGTTCCAGCCTCATATTATGATGCAAGTGGCTCCTTCTCCATTTGCTACGCCTGGCTCTGCTTCCTGAGACTTCTCTGGCGCCCCAAACAGCTGTCAAATCCCCACCTGGGAGCGTCCACGCTTCTTGGCTGTGCCGGCATTTGGGTGCTGCCCGCGGTGGTAGATGGGCAACGACATCCTAAGAGACAAGTGATGATGCTCGCCAGACGGAAAGGGAGGCCCGGGTCGTGGCTGGTAGGAGCAAAGCAGTAGGATTTTCTCGAAAATTGGCCTTCCTTGAGAAAGCACTGAGATGAACTCTATACCAACTATCTCAAGTCGCGCTCGAGTGTCAAACAACTGTGAACCTACGGCACATGAAAGAGGCGTCGTCACCTATTCAACTGCGGGACGGTGGAGCGAAGAAAAAGGTGATCGCACTTCGGATGGCTTATCTTCTTCGCATCCCTTTCATCCTCCATCCTCACTCCATCCTCACTGGGTGAACCACCTGGACAAATCCCTCTAAAGAGGGATGTCACTCCATCGGTCGTCTCCCCGGTCGGTTCCCCTCGACCGAGCCGCTGCCGCAGCAAGGGGGTGTCGCGGCAGTTGCCGTCGATGACCAGGCCGCTCAAGCGGCGGCGCTGCGCCTCGTTGGCCAAGAGCTCCCCGAAGAGGCCGCCCGTCTGCGGCCAGACCTCGTCGCCTGAGGGTTGGGAGGAAGATGGGCCCAACGAAGTTCGGCAGCTTCGGGTCTCAAGTTGGGGAAGGTGGACAGGACATGGGAGGAAAGGAACGGTGATGAACTGTGTATAATATAAGATGCAGTCGCCAGTGGGGGGGGGAGCGCCGGAGCTTGCCAAGTGGGGTGTTCCACGGAAAGCTGGATTTGGGCAACGAAAAGGAGGAAACAAGGGCCGATTTGATCATTTTGATCCAAACGCCCTCACCAACAACAAAGCGCCTCGCTCTACCCATACCAATGCTGCCCTCCTTGCCATTCCCCGCCTCTCCGCAGGCCAGCGTCGATCATAATGACCTCCCCTGGTTGCGCCTCTCGCAGTGCCACGAGGACTTCCAAGAAATCGCCATCCACCTCGACCGTCCGCGCGCGGCCCACCATGTGGTAGCCTCCAGTGGAGCGACAAAAAAGACATGTTGGAACGATCATGGGTAAGTCGCGGTCGTACATAGATCCATTGCAATCGAAGATGTAAAGGGTGTTGCTATAAGTCTCCATCTGTTTGATATCAGGGTTGTCTGCTTCCCTGCTTGCCGCAAACCGCAACGCAGTTTGTACTTGCAGGGAACCCAGCGCCAAAACCATGACAGGAGGAAAAGAAACTATAGATCAACTGCAGGACTTTGGAGCGAAGGCATTGCCATTGGGTAGGCAGTTCGTGGCGGGGCCATGTTGGGAGAAGATGAAACATTTGCTTGTCTTGAACTAGACTTCAGCACCGCTCATGAGTTTGGTGGGCAACAAAAGCGGTGTAGCAAATCAAATGTCCAATGTTTACCATGGTTTACCAGTTGAAACTGTCTGTGCGTGTGTGTTTCAAAACAGTGGGCCAAAGACCTCCTGAAAGCGTAGCTTCAATTTTTAAGAACAGCAACACATCGCTGGTACAAGTATTCACTGGTTAGGGTTACCCGTCTAGTGGACACTCGGCCTCAAACCTGGCCGCCGCAGAATCTTCTTGTTGACTGGCTGTGAATCAGTGAAGTATAGATTGTGCAATATCGTAGTATATTACAATTAGTCCAGTTACTAAAAAATAACAGCTGCGGCTTACAACCTCACCAGTCTTCAACCTGAAATCACCAGAAGCATACTATATGCCTATAGGCACCCCAACATCCCAAGCTACCACGGCACCCTTCCGTCCAGCACCGGAAGCTTCTTCGTCGCTCCCGTCGCAGTCGGCGCCTTTCCCCGCAAGGGGCCTGGCTTCAAGGGTCGAACGCTGGTGATGACCCGGGCCTTCTTGTCGCTGGCATCACACAGCGCCTCAACGGCGCGGCGAATGGGGCGGCCGCCAAACGAGCGGCGGGGTCCACCCCGCTGGGTGCCGGACACAAAAGGAAAGAACACCGGCGGGGGGTGTGAAACAATGTGTAGCTTGATTCAAGGAAGCGGGAGGTATTGAGCTGACAGTTGGCATAGCAAATTAGTGCGTATATATATATATATATATGTGTGTGTGTGTTTAATCCGGAGAGGACATTGACATTGACAACCCCTCCCCCAAACAAACAAACAAACATCAACTGTGTTGCACAATTGTGCACAAGTTCAGGTGATGCAAATGAACATCCAACATTATGGTTGCATGATCAAGTGGAAGCGCGGATTGTGCAACCTCTTGCATCACATCAACAATCCTGATTTGCTCATTAGGGTTGACGGAAGCCGGGCATAACACCCAGCCACCCAGTGCTGGCGGCTTGCCAGCTCCACTTTTCTCCGAAGCGGCTTCATCAAGGAACATCATCCCACAATAACTACTTGGAAAAGGACAAACGTTCAAGAAAACAAACAGGATCAAACTCCAGCATTAGTTCTTCGGCTCCTTGCAGCTGCGAACCGCTGCGAACGAACCAAACCGTCTCACGTCTCCAGCCGTGTGGCGCAGGTATCCATCCGCTGCAGTCGCGCCAGGAAGTCTCCAGTGGAGAAGGTCCGTGCCAGGTGATCCTACACGTTCGGCCCGCCGCAGGAACCCGACCACCGCCACGGGTAGAGCAAGCGCAACCGCGTGGGTCAGGGGGGGTTGGTTCACACGAAGACGGGTGGTGAACATGCCCCAATCCATGCATGGCATATTTACCTACATTGGGTTGGTTTCAGGGGTCGATCTTATATTCCATACATGGATTGTTGATGGTGAGCACTGCGGCACTCAGAATGGATTCGCCCGAAGTGCTCAAAGGCTTCAGCCAGAAGTCCAGCCCAAATGTTCCAAGCACGGTTTAATAAAGTCGCTGTGATCACTAGTTGAATGCTTGGCTTCAGTACTGACTGCTACTGTTTGATGGAGCCTTTTGATCAGAGTTTCATATTGATCTATTGAATCTATTGAGCTTAGACTTAGCCACAGTACCAACCGCAAGCACACTGACTCTGAGGGGCATCCACTGTGAGTTCCTTCAAAAAGAACGACACACAAGGTTCTGAGCAAAATACGGGGAGCTATTTTTGTCACTATGAACTCGATTGTTTGGACAAAGCTTGGCTGTCCATGGGTCCTTTGATTAGGTGTTTTTTTTAATCTTTAGCAGCTTGGTAAGACATCCTCTCAACGCAAAAGGACTAAGGGTCTCAGACTACACCGACACCGGACAGTCAAGAAAGGGTCGGTCAGCTGTTTGGATTTGATCGTAACGCGTGGACAAAGCCTATCTGGTAATTATCGTCCAACTTGGCCTGTTTTGGTCGTGCTTAGGTCGTATTTGACCAAGCTTGGCAACATACTGTATAGCAACATTCATAGCCGCACAGTCGACATGTAAACCGACGGGTCATTTTTTGACAACAATTGTGAAAAAGAACCAGTGATAGTCGCCAATTTATATGGCTCAAACCAAAAGCAAAGATCAGTAGAACAAAGAGGTACGAAGGCCAAAAGATCTTTTTGGGCATAGACAGACCATTCAGTAGATTCTGTTCATAGGCTTGGGCAACGAAGGCCTCCTGAGACCCAAGGGATGGCCCTCCTGAGGTCGGTGGGATGAACACCCCACCTTCGCCCAACGTGCCACCGGACGGCGGAGGCCCATGAGAGCCATTGCAAGACTGTGGAAGTAGCACTGACTGTGGAAGGTGATCAAAAGCAACAGTGTTCTGGGATGTTCTGGGAGGGTCGAGAGGATCTGGGAGGGTTCTGGGGTGTTCCATCTGTTTTATCGCCTAGTTTGGTCGTCGTTGGCCAGGTTCTGTGAACAGTTGTGCAAGGGTGTGTAACATATAGTTTGCTTCCATATGTGCGGCAAACCATGTTAATTATTTGGGTAGCTTATAAAGAATATGTTTATTGTCGTTTTGGGTGGGGTCCAGTGTGGGGTCCAGTGTGGGGTCCATACCGTTCTCCAACACCTGCATGATCTTGGTTGGATTATCGCCCTTTGGTGGGCACCATATCGTTTTCTTGGAAACATTTGCCCTAAGGATGGATGATAGCACGCTGTGACTAAACAAATAGCCAATTAATTTTCTTGGTCGCTCATATTCCCAGAGTTGCTTGAAGGGAACTCTACAAGAAACCCATAGGTTTGGGAGTGAAAACCATGGGATTCCTGCAGATGTTCCTTTCAACCAATTCTGAGGCACCCTTTTACTTGCGGCTGTTTTGCGTGTGTCGCAAGCCAACTATAGATGTTGCGTGTCCATGTTCATTTATATAAAGGACATGGACCGGAAAAACAGCCATAAGTTTTTGCAAAACTTTTCCTCGTAGACCCATAGTGACCGAGTGTTTTCCTATGTTTCCTCGGAAACCCTGGCAGCTGCTATTGTTACGTTTTATTGCTTGCTGAATCTGTGCAGTGTCCATAGTCATCCCTCCTGGGAGTGTACATATCAATGTGAGTCATATACCGGAAGAAAGGCCATACAGTCATCCTGGAACTAGACTGGGAAGTCCCAAAACTGAAAGGCTCACACAGATAGGATGTCAAAAATAGGCCAAAAAGACATCAACCAAGCCATTGCATACCATGGACCTACACACTCCCAGCACCTAACTGTCATGGTGCGCCTCGTAGCCCTCAGCCGCCGCCATTGGTCCAACCCCTTCAAGCTAAGTCCGCAGACTGAAAAAGGACCATCACCGTTCCAGGCGACTTAATAGCCTTGATTCGAAAGTAAACTTCACTGCACATCGGCAGCGGTTCGCCTTGGACATCCTTGGACCTTGTTTCCACTGGCCACTCTGGGGAGTATAAATAAGTCGAGGGGCTGCCCAGGAGGCATTATGTGCCCTCCCCGCAATTAATTTAGGGGCACGATGAAACATGTATGCAGCATGGGTGAATATACACTTGCCAGGGTCTTTGACGCAAGTTCTGGGCATATATACAGCATAGTTTCAAGTTTAAACATGCTACGTGTACAGCTGATGGCATCTACAGGAGAATCTAGAGTCTTGATCTTTTGTGATAGTTTATTTTCGCTTTCTTCAGTAGTGACGTCATTCTATAGTCCAATATCCTTGCTCAAGTGCGCACCTGGAGCCTTCACTCGCAGCTGACGGCCAAAACGGTCAACGTGGAAATCGCTGGGCGGGTCGAGTGCTTGCCGAGTGCGGCTCGACGGGTCGACGGCTTGGAGTGAAGTCCTCCGCTGCACAAGGGCTGCCCAAGATGAACATGGAACCTGAAAATGGCCCAAACCATTCTCAGGTTCCAGGTGAATCTCCCGTGTAACACTGCAGTTGCCAGAAAAGAGGGCCATCTGGGGGATGTGAGCGGCGGTCCCAACTCATTTGTTGTGCCTTTTTTTCAACTTAAAACCGTTTCAGCTCGCCTTTCGGTCGTTTCGACTGGTCCATGCCCAAGTAGGTGAATCAAAAAGTGGTGAGATGCTATATTGTTCCTTTTTCTCTTCTCAGTTGGTCAGCACAAAAGCCGGCCGTTTATTGTTTGTTCTTCAGTTTGTACTTTAAGAAGCCTCACAGTTCGCTGCTGTCAGCGGGCCAAACAACTTCTGAACATTGAGTTTTCTCCGAAAACTTGCTGAAAGGACCTGCAGTGAGTGGGGTCCATTTCTGGTCAAATCCCTCGTTGGTGCAGCATGCTAAAGCAAATGCAGGTCAAACCAGGCCGCATGGGACACAAAGAAGTATAATCGTTATATAACTTAATATATGCTATATATATATATGCATTCATGCTTGCCAATCAAAATGAAGCCCTTTGAACATCAGTGGGACCGAATTTAGCTTCAGCCAAATACAAATTCAAGCCCTGCCCGCTGTGCAATGATAAGTATATAGCACCCACCAAACCTCCCTTGTCAAGTGGGTACCATTTTCAATCAGGAGTCAAGACTCTTGCACAAACAATCCGCAGGTCTCAGCACAACAAAGCATGTAAGCACCCTTGATCAATTCCGCTGGCCTGTATCCAACACGTTTTTACTACAGTATTACAGTATAGATTCTAAGTATAGTGATGGACCCCCAAAACAATCATAACCTAAAAACACTATATTTCCCGATTCTTCAGCATTCAGCATCCCTGCAGGGCTTTGGTTTGGAGGGTTGAGGCAACTGCGGTGCTTTCTGCACGGCAGCCATGGCGTGCTGAAACAAAACTGGTGAAATCGAT